TTTCTCAAAACATTTTCTCTCCATTTAAACCCCCGACATTAGGTCCTCATTTAACTCCAGCTTTTTCTACCCCAACTTTTTCAACCCCAGCTTTTTCTATCCCAACTTTTTCAACCCCAGCATTTTCTACCCCAGCTTTTTCTATGCGCTGCTTTCCTGTTGGCTGCAGCCAACGGGCTTCCAGGGAGATACCAGGGATCCCCCAGGGAAAGGAGGAAAAGGCCCGGGTACAGTCCCGCGGTGATGCCTTGGGCGGCCAGCCACAAGGTTGGCGGTTTGAAACCACCTGCCTCGCTGTGGGAGAAAGATGAGGCTTTCGACTCCCATAAATAGACTCGGAAAGTGCCCTGCCCTATAGGATCTCTGTAGGTTCGTATTGACTTCTTGGTAGTCAGTCTGTTTTGGTTTTTTGTTGGTTGTTTTTTTTTTTTCAAGGGGAGAAAGATGAGGCTTTCTGCTCCCATAAAGATGTACAACCCAAAAAAAACCCAAACAAACAAAAGATTTACAACCCAAAGGGGCAGATCTACTCTTCCCTCCAGGGTCACGGTGTGTCAGGAGTGACTCCTTGGCAGCGGGAAATTCCTCTGGGAAGCTTTTGTGGTACAGGGAGACACGCACCGGGCTGCTACCCTCAAGGTCGGCGGTTCAAACCCACCAGCCGCTCCCGGGGAGAAAGATGAGACTATGTGACCCCGCACAGATTCAGAGGATCCCTGTCCTGGCTTGCTGGGAGTCCGGATGGACTGGATGATAGTGGATTTGGTTCCGTGTGCTTAGCGTCCTCTAACAAACCACAGCTTCTGACCATCTTACAGCCACAGGTTCTAGAAACTCCTAGGCCCTTCTAGCTCCCTTCCCTCACCTCTTCAGGCCTGGGGGTGGAGCCTCACCACTCTGTTTTTTTTAAAACCCATTTTCTTTGGGGTGGGATATATATAGCTGAACATACATCCATTCACGATTTCTGCACGAAGAGTTTAGACCCACTGGCTGCCTCCTTTACTGTTTTTACATCACGATTCATTCGTGGTCTCTTCCTTTTAAAGTTCTCGTCTATCTGAGCTTTAAATGAACTGCTGTCAGAGTAAGCTCACACAGATGAATCTTTATGTGCTCAAAGCAAAATATTGTGGCTCGGGCTCCACTATTGTCTCATGGGAAACGGCTTCATGAGGTCATTTGGGTCCAAGGTTTAAGGGCGGTTTCCAAGCATTTGTCGCCGGAGCTTCTCCCGAGTCCCAACGGATGTGATGAGTCTAGTTTCCACAAACATTTGAAATCCTATCCCACATGTTTCCTCCTGTGGATCAGAATCTGTCTGTTGGGTCCTGGACCAAAACGCTGAACGAGGCTCGCATGGCACCAGCCATCTCTTCTGATCTCTTGGGAGTGTTGGTAGTAGTTTACGGAGAGTGTCTGCCTTTCTTTATTGGTGCTCTCACTTGCCGCCCGGAGGCAGCACCTTCATGAAAAGTTAAGCATTTTATGCCAAAACAATAAAAAGGCCTGCCATGTAAGTTGCTAACATCTGGCATATTTATATTCCGGTTCCCTTTCATTTCTTGAGGACTGTCACAGCTCTTATAACAATTGTAT